ACTCACAGAAGAAAATCTTTGCTAATAATTCAACAGGCAAAGATTAAAATCCAGAATATATAGAGTTTAAAAAGTTCTTTAAAAAGAGGATTGAAGCCGGGTACCAATGGCTCATGCCTGTATTCCTAGCTACTCAGGAGGCTGAGATCTGAAGATCACAGTTTAATGCCAGCTCCAGCAGGAAAGTCCTTGAGATTCTATCTCCAAAAACCACCAGAAAACCGGAAGTGGCACTGTGGTAGAGCACTGTAGCCTTGAGCTGAGAAAGCTTAGTGATAGCACCCAGGCCAGAGTTCAAGACCAGAACTGGCAAAAAAAAAAAAAAAAAGTTAACCATCAAAAGAAAACTTAATCTAATTTATAAATGAATCGATGAGCAGAGGGGTTGGAAGTTGCGATGGACACAAGGAGAAGAATGATGGAAGGGGTAATACTGACCAAGATGTGTGGCGCTCATAAACTGAGGCATTGAATTGAAACCCCTTTGTACAACTATTTAGAGATCAGAAATTTAAAAAAAAAAATTAAGCCTGGTACTGGTGGCTCATGCTTGTACTCCTAGCTATGTAGGAGGCTGAGATCTGAGGATGGAGGTTCAAGGCCAAGAAAAAGCCCATGAGAAGACTCTGTGTGTTGGGGGGGGAGGGGTTTGAACTCTGGGCCTGGGAGCTGACCCTCAGCTCTTCAGCTCAAGGCTAGAACTCTACCACTTGAGCCACAGTGCCACTTCTGGTTTTCTAGTAGTTTGGAGATAAGAATCTTACCAACTATGCTGCCCAAGCTGGCTTTGAACCGCGATCCTCAGATCTCAGCCTCCTGAGTAGCTAGGATTACAGGCGTGAGCCACCAGCGCCTGGAAGCCCATGAGACTATCTAATCAGCAAAAAACCAGAAGCAAAACTGTGGTTCAAGTGGTAGAAGGCTAGACTTGAGCACAAAAGCTGAGGGACAATGCCCAGACCCAGTACCAGAAAAAAAATAATTGCTATTTATTGCAGCATTATTTACCATAGCTAAGATATGGAACCAACCCAGATGTCCCTCAATAGATGAATGGATCAAGAAAATTGTGGTATATATACACAAGAGAATTCTATGCCTCCATCAGAAAGAATGATATTGCCCCATTTGCTAGGAAATGAAAAAACTTAGAAAAAATTATATTAAGTGAAGTAAGCCAGGCCCAAAGAAAGAAAAAATTATATTAAGTAAAGTAAGCCAGGCCCAAAGAAACAAAGGTCCCATGGTTTCCCTTATTTGCAATAACCAGTGTATGTCTAAGTCAAGCAGAAAAGGTCAGATAAGTTGATGCTAGGGAAATGAACCCCAAGATAAGTATTCAAATGTTTTTTTTCTTTCATGCAATTGTTTCTAACATATTTATAAGATTATTTCTTTGTTGCTTTGTATGTCCCTCCCCCACGGTATAAGCCCTGCCTTCACTGTATTTGATGTTGGTATAATTTGTGAAGGGGAAGGGAAAAAACAAATCGTTTAACTAGGGATACAGGTGGACCCATTGCAACAATGAGATGTACAAGCTGTTATGTC